CTTTCTCCTACTAGGACCAGCTCTTTTACCTCTCTGCTGTCCCCCCCCCCCACATTCCCAACCTCTCTACTTACATGTCACCTCCATGGCTCTGAGGGGTGGACGATACTCTCCACAGTGACGGATGAATCCTCGAAACTCTGCCAGAGGACGACTTTTCAGCTCGCGACAGGGAGGCAGGGAAGGGTTGAAAGATGGAGGGAGCAGATGGTTTCTCAGAAGAGCAGTCTGGCTGATTGTGGACAGTTAGCTGTAGCGTTAGCCACAATAAGAGAAAACTCATCTGTCAACGCCGCCTCCTTTTCTCGCCTTTTCTTTCCTGTTTTGTCTCTCGCTCCTTTAGATGCCTCCCTATCCATGCATATTCTGTTTAACTAAAATCAGCCATACCTATTGGGCTCCCACCCATCATCTAGCTACTATTGAAATATTTTCCACCTCTCTGCTTGCTTTCCTTCCTCCCTCTGTGGCTCTAAAAGCAGCCACAGAGCCAAGCTCAGCCAAGCTGCTCTGCTTCACTTATGTTGATCTCTGAGCTTATGCACTGATTGGACCCACGCCATAACCAGCGACACCAATAGTGATGCAGCAAGCAGAATCACATGAGAAATATATGTGTTTGTGTGTGTGCAAGTGTGTGTGTTTAGTTGTAGTGGAAGAGAGGGATGAGAAGAAGGGGGGAGACGAGAGGGAGGAGGAATGGAGGGGGGGTGTGCGAGTGGCTGCAAGCCGCTACATCACTAAGGCATTTTTTTCAAGGTCTCAAGAAGAGAGATGAAGGCTCCCTCCTTCCTTCTTTTGGGGACAAGGAGGAGGATGAGAGGAGGTTGTGGGCTCAGACGTTTGGATGAAGGGACGGCAGGCAGTCTTACAAGTCTCCGATAGGCACTCTCGAGCCGAAACAAAGTGTACACGCATGCAGAGCGCACGCAAAAACAACGTCTCCATTTTACCTAAAACAGAGGCAGGGGCATGTGCTCCGCTGCCGACGTAATTGGACGAGGTTGCTATGGAAACAGGGGAAACGGCTGCTGACAGACAAAGCAGTGCCTTGGGAGCATCATAGCTGCCTCCATTAAACACGCCACATACACAAACATGAGCACACCTCGTCCTGTATGGAAAACTACATTAAAACAGAAGAAAAAATAATTAACCAATTAAATAAATCTTTTAAATCACTAAATGGGCATTTTTAGTGTGTGCAGAGTTCAGAGTCAATTAGCCATTGAGACCAAGGAAGTGAAATGGCAACCGGATCTCGAGAAATAGACATATATTTGTAGTGTATACCAACCCTAATAAAAACTCAAGTGCTTTAGTATTCCACACATCAGTCCTGTCAGCAGCAAATGTTGAAGCTGCAGGGAAGCCATACAGATTAGAAAATGGATGCCCTCTGAATTATCCTTGATCCCCCTTATTATCCACCCACATTAGGATGCATATTCTCTCTGAAGAGCACATTTCCTCCTATAATGTGTCAAAGCCACATTTTAAATTCCAGAATTCATTCAAATGTGCATTCAAGCTTTAAAGCTGACAGTTTTCACCATACTAATTCAGTCCCGATAACAAGAAAACCACAGTTCTTTAATTGACTACAACTACCTGCACAGACAGGAAAAAACTGAAATACTACAACTCAACAAGTTGAAATAATTAAAGCTAAATGCAAAAAAAAGGATACAATCCTTTATTGATATGCAAAGTTGCTTCCTTTAACAAACAGTAATAAATCAGAATTTCACAGTCAATGTAACCTGAGGCTGAACAAACTTGACACTTAGCATTAATCTCTGCATGCATCATTTAGCTAATACCTTACGACTAAAATGTCTTCATATCAACACGGTATTCTGATATCTAAACTTTTAAGGTAAGGGCAAAGAGGAGCAAAAAAAAGAGGCTGCAGAGGTATGTCAAGCCACCCATTTGTTTTACTTGCTTGCAGGCTTCTACAGTGCCCTAGTTAGACATTTCTTCACACTACTTCATCATTTTGCTACAGGAGTTCAAAAAACATTACTTGTAAAACCTTTTGGTAACTAATGGTCCTTTTGTCCTAAAAGTAGCAGAAGTTCTTAAAGATGGCTAGTGTTGTGCAGGCAACAGAAACACTTGCCAACACAGCCAGTAGTTTCAGTAGTGAACAGTTAATATTCTTACTAGTCAACTACTGTGAATTCATTTAGTAGACTGGTAAAAAATAACAAACTATTTATAGTGTGTGGTAAGATGTTTGTGAAAATATTAGAGATCCTTAATATTAACCATAGATTTTGCCAACAGGTTTTTACCTACATACTGGTTATAGATTTGGTCATGCTTGTTTAATACTAAGCTGAAATAATGTAAAAAGCTTTCAATAAAAGTACTTACCTATTGTGAAAAAGTTTGAGGTGGCTTTTAAATGCAAAAATCGGCAGTTATATAATACTATTATCATCATCGTTAAGATTAAAATGACAAAGAGACAACTGACACATAAATTCTGTTGATTGATTTACTTTTAAATGAGGGCGACAGTGGCGTTGGATGTAGGATTTTGCCCTGAAATTGAAGGATTGACGGTTCAAGCCCCGACTCCGACTTTCAGTGTCGTTGTGTCCTTGGGCAAGACACTTCACCTGCATTGTCTACTGATGTTGGCCAGAGGGCCCGGTGTTGCAAGTGTACGGCAGCCCCGCTTCTGTCAGTGAGCCCCAGGGCAGCTGTGGCTACAATGTAGCTTACCACCATCAGTGTGTGAGTGTGTGCTTGTCCGGTGTCCAGTCTATGGTCACCCGGTCAGGTTCGGTCATTCCGTCCCCCCCGCTGGCTCCCTGCCCTTGTCCCTTGTCCGGACCAGCCTGGAGCCAACAGCTCGGTTCAAATGCCCAATATGTTTCGACTACGTGCTGCACTGTAGTCGACCAAAATCCCGCACGATCTTGGAATTTCCCCCCAGACATTTTAGGAAATCTTCGGGAAAAGGAAGACGTCTGGTCACCCTACCATATCAACAATTTGATGTTTCTGTGAGTGAGTGCTTGTTGCTATGATGCGTCTTTGCTCATCAGCTTTGCACGTTGTAAACCAACCAATCAGAGCACAGTTCATCTAAATATTCATGAGCATACCATAAAAGGAAGAAACCTGTTGTTTCATTCTAGGGCTTTCAACCAGTCTTGCATTAGGGCTCATAGAACAGCACATATGCCATTTTCAGCCCAACCAATGTTACACATCCTATTCAGAAACCTTAAGGACCAGCACCAAATACCCTATATAATCATTCTTTGACCCCTTTAAACTATAATGTCCGATTTAGCAGTAATAGCTTTACCCTTTGCTTTAATCAATGCTTGTAGGAATCGAGCCAGAAATTACCTGTGATTTTTGTTATCAAATAGCGTACTAGAATAGCATATTGTGATTTTTGAGAGCTGTGTGAATATCTAACATGATGAGGCTCTTTGAAACATGTTTAAACACCTCTTGTCCTTTCCTTTGGCGCTTGCAATCCATTTACAACACATGATAATGTAAGTGGGAGGTGTTCATGTAACATTCATTCATTTTGTAATAGAATGTTATTTTTGCTCTTTCAGTAGTTCTAATTTTATACTTAAAGGCTTTTTATGTCATTCTCCATATTAAGTTCTTTAGGCTTTAAATTTTATAAAGAAAGGATTTATGGCCTGGTATGTTATATAAGTTTTTTCCTTTATGCGGCAAGCCAGATGTCAATTTTGACCTCAGTTATTTGTCGTAAAGGATGTTGTAAATACTGAGGGGAAAAACTAAAGTGAGGATTCAGATTAAGGAATGTTATAATATTTCTGGATTGAATTATTGCATTATAGGTTTTCTATTGCAATAATCATACTAATTAAGGTCAATAAGATTTATAGCATTTAATTTTTACTTCAACAACTTTATTTAAAATGCAGTGACGGAGGATTTGATAGAGATTAAACGCACTACTTACATAAATTCAAATATTTGACACCATAGGACAATCCCAATTTGTATAACAAATGAGGGAAAATGCCCATAACATCTGCTGCTTCCTACAACCGATGCCCAATTGACTACAAGACGTACAATATCTGTCATGAACACCTAATTACTGTCACCATCTGGCCATTGACATAGACAATTCCTGTGTGAATGGACTCACCCTTAGCCAGGATGCAGGTTTTCTATATTCATGTAAACTCCTGCTAGTGCATGCCAGTGCAATCACATGGCTGCACACCTTAACTTCTAATGGACTATGAAAGAAGGAGCCCATTACCCTCCAAAAAACAAAACACAAAGGATAAACAGCAGTGTGCCAAAGAGGATGTAGACAAAGACGAGGACTTATGGAATTCTGTTTTTTAAGCAGATGAGTCTATATTCTATATATAAAAACTATTCAGGCATTTTAGCAGAGGACCTGTTTTGCATAAACCAAAGCCAGCATTCCAGGAAAAGGGAGAGGTGTTGTTATTTTTGGATGAATGTCTGTAGCAGGATCTGACCGACTACCCATTATTTGATTCCTACCAGAAAAATATGAGAAGATTTAAAAAACAATGAAAGTAAAACAGGACTCTATAACATGAAAGTGACCATAAACGTATGTTTGAGTAAAATCTCCAACCTTGATCTCATGAAAAATTGCTGCAAACAAACTTTATATGCAAGAACCTCCTCATTCATCTCAAAGCTAATGAGGGGTCATCTCAATAACAATATTATGAGGATTAGCCATTAGAGGTTAGGGTGTAATTCTCATTAATTTTGTTTGAACAGTAAAACGATGCAAATTTTGGCACTTTTTACTACTTCATTTTTAAAGGATCGCAAATGAAAATGACTAGGCATCAACCTTTGAACATTTATTTTCAAATGACTGAAAATTCTACCTGGTGTCCAACCTTAGCACATGACTGTGGGCACAGCTGCTGTTGCCTGTTGGCTGAAACAAAACCCAAACCCGATCCCATCAGTAAACTTATGTAGCCTACCTTGTTAAAGTCTTCACTGGTGGCTCTCATTTCCTTCCAGGTCTTGTTGAGCAGCTGGATGCAGATGCAGAAGAATTCTTCAAAAGACCGATCGTGGGTGAAGAACATGGGGTGGAAGTCATGACAGTTTTCACTGGCTGTGGACATAAAAGGGACAAATGATCAATATAGTGTTGTGATCTCCTGATCTAGATTTTTGGTTATGTCGAAGTTTTCACTTCGGGTTTTCAGTTTGATTTAAGTCATTCTGTAGTGATGTCAGGATCGAGTCATTTTGCTCGACACAGCTTCGACCTTTTTGAAGCAGAAGTGTAGCTGAGAAATGTTTCAAACGCACCCCAGTCACGTAACCGTTGCGAGCCAGGCCTTGTTTCGTCACAATTCATATCAAGCTTCCAAGTTAATTCCAGAAATCTGGGTTTTTCAATACTACTGAAGTATTCAAATGCATCAGAATTGCAAGTTTTTCCTATTAACAGTTTTATTTAAAGGCATGAAAAGAAAAGGTTTGTGGAGGGTCTTCGCAAATTTTTGAAAAGACCCACCCTCTCCACTTAAAGAAATAAAAAATGCACATGCACAACCCTGTACAAGCTCATGAGAGGGAACGCCCATTTCCCGTCATGCATGCTCTGTTTATAAGTTGCTGTTTTCATCTCTCATACAAGCTTAAGAATACTATACTCACCACTAGGGGCGAGTATTGGCATGGGTATTACGATACAATATGTGTCACGATACTTGGGTCACGATACGACATTATCACACTATTGCAATATCACCATATATTTCTATATTTTTTCTGCTATCAAAATTGTGAGTTCACTTCTAGTGTTTCTAGAATTTCAACAGACCTTTCCATGTCTAAATTATATTAAACTGTAAGACGACAGTTTAATCTGAAATGTTCTGCTGTGTGAAGAGAGAGGGCACAAAACACAACAAACAATTATATCTAACCCACCCTCCAAAAAAAAAATTCAGACCAGTGGTCATACCATTATCCTCTTACACTGTATAGTTTTTTTTTTTTTTTTTTTTAAAGCGGTACGGAGCATAGAGCAACATAGTGCTTCCTCTCTCCCATCTATATCTGTGCAAAGGAAACCAGCTGACAAAAAGCAAACACTTTATACCTCTTTCTTTCTTACAAGGAGAATTGGATCTGTTTAAAAAAATATTGTCATGGAGCAAAAACTATAGGAGCATCTCTGATCACTAATATTAGTAGCATTATTTCAGCAGCAAAAACATTAAGGAAAGCAAAAACATTTTGGTGTGAAAATTATTACTTAATATTAGGTATTTTTTACTCAAAATAATCCAAACATCCTACAGCCCCACACATATAAAAAAAAAAATAAGACAGCTCCATGTCTGGTTATAATAACAAGCTACAAAATAACTTAAAATAAGTAAAATATCTTGTTTTGAGTATGTTTATATTTTAAATTAAATTGCTGAGTGATATAAAATACGGTAAACTGATTTTATAACAATAAAAGGAAGCAAATTTGCTCTTTAAAGAGACTATAAAAATAAATTCAACAAAGAATCCTAATCGAAATGAGACCATAACAGAAATTGTACATACTGCTAAATACAAAATGCACCCCCCCACACACACAAATTGAGACCAGAAAGTAGTTCAGACTAATCAAAGTTTAATATAATTCTTATTTCCAAACCTAAACCTCTGTTTATTCCCTTTATCAGAAGTGCAGTAAGCCATTTTAATCCCAGTATTTGTGTGGTAGCGTATTTGATATGAATGTTAGATGGAAATAGAGGAGACTGGGCTCTTGAGTTCCCAAACTGTATTAAGCCAAAGGTACAATAACAAGCCTTGACATTCATTCGAACTGCATTCGCCTCCCTCTCGCCTTGCAGAGACGAGTGGCAGCTGAGAGCCAAAGGTTGGTTCATTTAAAGAGTTTCAGAGTGGAGCAGCAGGGGTACCGGCCACCGCGAGGAGCCATGAAATTAGATGGAAAGGGTCATGCAGCAATTGAGACTTCACAGTGTAACGAGTGATGCCATCAGCCCACAAGCACAGAGACCCGGACCTTGATTTCAAGTGATGGATGGACAATTAAGTGGAGGACATGGTGAAGATTGGGGTGGGACGTGATACCAAAGTCGGCAGTCGATTGAAAAAGTAATCGAGCGAAGCTAAAAGAGATGCTGGCAACCTGCTTTGCCAACAAAGTTTCACTCATGAGTAAAAAACAAAACAAAAAAAACATAAAAGAAATGGAAAAGTAAGTATATCAAAACAAACCAGGATAAATATCCTGTTTTGGCAGAATGACAAAACCCATTAGGCAGGTTGACTCTGAGTTTACAAGGCTGTGTATGGATAGAACCAACAGAGCCCTGAGGTGGCAAGGTGAAGGGAATGACATGTCAAGGCTCATTTGAAAGATGCAGACAGCAAGCCGTCTCAAGAGACACTGCAGAAATTTCTCCCCTGCAGACAGTTTATTGCCTCTTTCAAAGCTAAGCAGGAGTCCAAACAGAAGGGCTGAGACAAGAAACAGGGTGAAACAGTGTTCTTTATAGAAAACTGTTAATTCAAAAGAACGGGTTCACTGCCTTTAGAGTATATAATATAACCTTCCAGGGTTGCAGAAACAGCAGGCACAGCTCGGTTAACTCCACCTTTTTTCTTTTTACTTTATGAATGTTTTGGCAAATCAGAATCCTTTATACAAGCTGCCAACTACAGTTAAAAAGCTAAGAGGTAAGTGCACATTAAAATCAAAGGTAAAAAAAAAGTCTAACATGACAAGCATTTTGAGAAAATGTAACAATAAGCAAATCAAAATAATGAGGATTATATAAATAGGACACCTTCAAACTATTTGATTCAGTGTGACACTTTAATTTAGCTATGTCCGTTATTCACAAACACATTTCTTATTCCAGTCTAAATTCTTTAAATCTCTCCCTTGAGTAGTAGGAGAGCATTTGATATTAGCAACAACAAACTGCAGCTACTGTATAACATCATCACAACTAGCACTAGGATCAACCACACCTTCTCACTGACATCATTTCTGTTAGTACGAGTGAGGAGCTCAAATATCTCCTTGTTAGAAACTTTAAGGCAACTTTAAGGCAAAAGTTTGTGCTCCCTGAGAGAATCTAAGAATCTTTGTTAATACAGGCCCTGTTTGATCTTAAATGTAGGAATTTCACTGCTCAGTGGTGCAGTGGGTAGCACTGCTGCCTTGCCGCAAGAAGGATGCAGGTTTGATTCCCGGCCCAGGGTCTTTCTGCATGGAGTTTGCATGTTCTCCCTGAGCATGCGTGGGTTTTCGGCTTCCTCCTACAGTCCAAAACATCCAGACAGGATGCTGTAATCATTCAGAAATGTTTTTTTTATGCAAGCGGAATAAGCTAATGAGGAACACATTTTAAAAACGCCATACAAGATTATAATGCCTCAGCCATTTATTCAACAAATGAATACTTTCCAGACACATTAAGTTTATAAGTCATTCTCTCAACAATATAACCTCAAATCATATTTTGCCAATAGTCTTTCTAATTTAAAAGCAAAATGTTGTCAATGTGCAAAACCATTTTTTACCTTAATATTAGAAAGTGAAATTTGGAATCTTAATAAAAAATGCCACTGATTGAAATTTCTGTTATCCAAAAGATAAGAACAGTGTTCAGTAAAGTGTAGGTAAAGTAAAATATTTCAGAACACCACATCATGCCTCTGTACCTAAAGCAAGGGTAGGGCTTGCTGGGATAAATATTATCGCAGGGACACTAAACACTCCCTAACTTGATAGCAGTTCATACCAGCAGGGCAGGTATGAACTGTGACTCATTTAAAGTAATAATTTATTATTCTTTTTGGCAAGGCATATGGGTCTGGAGCAAACAGTCTGGATGAATGCTTAATGAACTCTAATGAGTTTGCTTTGTCCTCCATCGTCTCATCCATCTGTACAGCCAGATGTTTACTGATTCAAAGTGGGAAACTGGACACGGTGATGGTTGGTTTCAGCCATATGCTCACTTAGGTCAGCAGAACTTATTTTTATTACTAAGGGGTATTTATATATAACATTTAACTGAAAAAAAATACTTTCTTTTTGTACATAAGGGGAAATAAGAAAAAAAAACAAAACAGGATTGTACTTTTCTGAAAGAGAGAAGTATCTCGATATGACGGTCAGTCTGGAATTTTGACATGAAGGAGAGAAAATAATTTTCTGCTTAATATAAGGGTTACTTCAAGAATAAATCTGATCTCTGCTGTTAAACACATTAAATGCAACATCAAAATGTGTGTTTTATCCTTTTAAGCAACTAAAAGTATAAATATTAAGAAGAAACTACAAAGAGAACATAACCAGAGATGCAACTTTTCTGACGTTTAATTTTTTTGGTTTTTCTGTAAAGTCCGACCTCCCAAATGTAATGTTGCCCGATTATAAATGTAATTTTCTACAACCTACAAAAAATGACAAAAGGTGATGAGGTTTTTTTTTTTTGTTTTTTTTACAGGGGTTAGTAGGTGGGAATCCAACTGAAAGATTATCCTCCGTCTCTAAACTTTATCCTACCTTTTTTTTTTTTTGTTAAAGAAAACAATACTATAACATCAGCTGATTTTTTTTACAAGCAAAAGTGGGGCTAGTTCTGTCTTATATATATATATATATATATATATATATATATATATATATATATATATATATTAGTGCTGTCAAAATTATCGCGTTATTAACGCGTTAACGCGAGGCCATTTTAACGGCGATAATTTTTTTAACGTGAGATTAACGCTATGTGGTTTTATGGTACAATTTTCCAAGTACATCCCGCTGCAGCCTGCGGGAAGGCGGGGCTATTTTCCCCCAGTCTATGCATTTCTCATAGGCTTCAAGAGCGGAGCTCCTCAAGGAAAAAAGACGCTCATACACTGGGTGACGCTAGTGCCTTTTCTTTAAGCCCCACCACCAACAAACAAGTTGAGTGTCTGGTAACTAGTAGCAACCTGAAATACGCTGAGAAAACAGATTACTGAGGTGAAATGGAATCTGCTATGGCACTCTTGCTGTCTGTGTACGCAACAGGTCGGTATCGCGTGTGTGTGTGTGTGTGGGTGGGTGGGTGG